ATTAGCAAATATCGCCGTGGGCGCTTATTAGAGCGGGGCGCTTATTACGTTGAATACGGTACTTCAAACTGGCAAGGGTTCTTGTGCTGCCCCATGTTGCATAACCTCAAAACAAGTTAAAATTGGCGAGATGTTGCAGCTCCAAGCATTGTTCACTGCAGTAATGTTCATGTATATCATGCCTGCATTCAATCAGTGAGAAAAAGACCCGTGAAGATCTGGGTTCGATAGGTCTTCACCAACCCATGCTTGTAAGAGGTGACTACTCTTGTCGTAAGAGGCAATCGGGTGGTAAGGCTCGCTGACATGGTTGATGCATGTCATCGTATCCCAAGTGCGTGGATCGATGCTCATGATATCAATCACAGGATTGTCTGGTCCAGACTCGATTATTTACAGACCGCCATCATAAAGCTGGAATATCGATTAGTGCGGCATCAACAAACAAAACAGCAAGAAAAAAAATCTGTGAAGACATATATGTACGCAAGCTGGGAAGCTGCATTGGGTAATTACACAGTGTTGTTATTGGGTTATCAAATTTCCTCATCCGTTTTCGTACAAAAGCCACACATAATCAATTGGATTATGATGACGAAGTCTGCATAATTTACCTAAATATGAAGCTGATCTGGAGTTATGGGTAGATCGGTATTCAGGTCAGGCACAGGAGGCTATGCATGTGTGGATACTCATAAATAAATCACTGCAGAGTGACCTGTAGTCACATCAGTTGTAAATTCCCTGAGAATTATGGCTCCATCATGTAGTAAGCTGGGGATAGTGCTGGGACATCAGTTTGAGACAGGCTATTTTTGCAGTCACTGTTTCAAATCATGCAATTTCATCTTGGAAAGAAGCAGGACAGTTCCATTTTTTCACAAAAAAAAAATTCTTTTCAGGACAACAGGTCCAGCGAACAATTAATTTTGAGAAGTAAAATTTCCTCTCCCCCCACATTTAACTGCAACAAATAATATTGTTTTTAAAAACAACAACACCCAACCACACTAATCCACACTAATCCATCCCCACTTAGAACATACATTATCTGATACAAGTGCTGCCTGTTCACAGCTAGTATTAGGCCTGTAGACATACATCTTGGTGCACAGCATAAGACTTCAACACAGGGGTGATCGAGGAAGCAATATACATGAAATATTATTCTACATGTTATTCTAAGCATAACAATCATCAGCCTAAAATTTTAAAATACTTTAGGCACTGAAAAGAAATGACCTTTTAAACTCAAATTTCATTTTTGTGGCAGATTCCAACTTTTTACCATTCATTATTATTATTAAGTTCATTCATAGTGTGTCATAGTCAATCCAAGTCACCATGCCCCGGGGCCCCATTTCTTTATGTTTGGAGTGAGGGTGTGGGTGTGGCCAAAAGAGGTCAGGTAGTTGGCTATATATTACTCTACATGTTATTCTAAGCATTACAATTATCAGCCCAAAATTTAAAAATACTTTAAGAAATAATCTTTTAAACTCAAATTTCATTTTTGTGTGGTATTCCAACTTTTTACCATTTACTATTATTATTAAGTGTGTCATATAGTGTGTCATAGTCGATCCAGGGCCCCATCTGTTTATGTTTTGAGTGAAGGTGTGGGTGTGGCCAAAAGAGGGCAGGTAGTTAGCTATATCAGAATATATTAGAATCAAGTTTATTATAGATTATTATTTCTTGTAAACTATCAAATAAATAAACAGAAAAATACAATCCTCCCTACCCAGTCAATTTTGAAACAAGTCATGAAATACAAGAATAATGTTTAACTGACATCACTGTATCCCTGGATCAATGCACCTCATCAAGACATTACATTCAACCAGTCACTCGTTCATACCCCAATGAATGTAGGGACAGATAAAGGTGTTTCCTAAAGGCTGTTATCATTCAGCAGAGAGTGAGTGTTTGTTTGTTTGTTGTTTAATGCCGCACTCAGCAATATTCCAGCTACATTACAGCGGTCTGTAAATAATCGAATCTGGGCCAGACAATCCAGTGACTGACATCATGAGCATTGATCTATGTCACCCGATCCGTTAGTGGCCTCTTACAAGCATAATCGCCTCTTACATCAAGCATAGGTTGCTGAAGACCTATTCTACCCCGGATCTTCAGGGGTCTAACATAATAAGTGCCAGTTTAATTCCATACATAAATTTGAGGAATCCTATCCTTGAGAAGTTACACCTCTACTTAGCAGAATATAGCAGTTGGGACCAGGGCCCCGTTCCACAAAGCGATTGTAGCGCTAAGATGATTGTAACTCCCATTCTTTAGCATACGCTTACGACAGTCGTAGCGCTACAATCGCTTTGTGGAACGGGGCCCAGTACTGAGTCAGGGCATGAAACCCGTACTGAGAGATGTGTCCTGGGCGCCACCTGGTGGCAGGCCCATGAAAAGGTAACTGTTGGTGCACATCAACACCCTCTCATACATAATCTGGTTCTCCAACAATAAAACATTTACATAAGCTTGTAGAAATCTGCCTGAAATTAAATGCCTCAAATCAACATAAAACCATGAATGAAACGGCCTACTGCGTGAATCTAGGTGATGCAGAGCCTCCAGCCATACACATTAATCTTTCAGGTAATGGTCCTGAACCCCGATGTCAATGAATCTTTAAGTGCCCTCATGAAAAGTTAGCACCTCTCTCTCTATCAATGATCACAACTTCACAGGTCCGCTTGACCATGCCGGTCACTTAACTTGCTGCAATGTGATGGCACGAGATGTAATGGCGACCTATAAAATACCGGTTGCCATGGTAACAAATCACAGTCATATTGAGGGGCAGAGGGAATTAGAAGCCATTAAAGTGTGAGCTGGTGGTTTAATATTCCCTGTATGACTGCAGTAGTCGGAGAAGCTGTGTAGGATCTCCCCACAAGCCTTAGTCAGCCCTCTGGGTAAATGAAAGATGTGGAAGCCTGGCTTGATGCTTCTGGCTTGAGCTTCTGGCTTGAGCTCCTGGCTTCTGGTTTGAGCTCCTGGCTTGAGCTTCTGGCTTGAGTTCCTAGCTTGATCTCCTGGACTGAGCTCCTGGTTTGAGCTCCTGGCTTGAGCTTCTGGCTTGATCTCCTGGACTGAGCTCCTGGCTTGAGCTTCTGGCTTGAGTTCCTAGCTTGATCTCCTGGCTTGAGCTCCTGGCTTGAGCTTCTGGCTTGAGCTCCTGGCTTGATCTCCTGGCTTGAGCTTCTGGCTTGAGCTTCTGGCTTGATCTCCTGGACTGAGCTCCTGGCTTGAGCTTCTGGCTTGAGTTCCTAGCTTGATCTCTTGGACTGAGCTCCTGGCTTGAGCTTCTGGCTTGAGTTCCTAGCTTGATCAACTGGACTGAGCTCCTGGATTGAGCTCCTGGCTTGAGCTCCTGGCTTGAGTAATAAGACTTCTAAGTAACTGGATCATGAATTATTGGACTGTATCCGGGACTTATCTGGAGCTGCTCTGAGTTTCAAATGTCAGTAAAATTTCCCAAATTGGAATTAAAATTTCCCCAAAAGTCATTACACCTATATAGCGATGTGTGTGCATGTGTGTGCATGTGTGTGCATGTGTGTGCATGTGTGTGCATGTGTGTGTGTGTTGGGTGGGGGGATGGTGCAGCTTCTACTAGCCTGGACTAATGCCAGTTTTATACTGACCCAGGTAGTCAGGGGAGATATGGAGTCCTGTGCTACTATCCTGTTAAATATCAGTCTGTGCACTCCTCTCGACTAGATAGGACCTAATAGAGAGTCTGCGTTAGAAGAGATCCCAAGCAGTCTATGCTGGTTGTGACAGGTGCTTGAGAGGATCAGGTGCTTCCACTCTATGACTTGGATGATTGTTTGTCATCCTACCCTGACGGCCCATACTTATAATTTGTTGAGTTTGCTTTACACCGCAGTCAGCAAATTTCTAACTATATCACGGCAGCCTGTACAACCTCCAAAAGAGTGATTAATGATATGATCAATGACCAAAGCAATTTGGGTACAATGACAAGCTATCAAACGAGACTGACCACCTGATCAATTTAGTCACCTTACCGACATACATAAGTCACTGGGGTCTAATTTTAACCTAGGGCCATTTCATAAAATGATTGTATCACTACAACTATCGTAGATCCTATTCTTGAACATGAAGTTATGACCATCATAACCCTACGATCGTTTTGTGAAACAGATCCCTCGAACCTAAAAGGTTGAGTGATGATGATAATGATGATGATTATGATTGTAGCAATAATATTGATGAAAAAATCTAGAAAAATATCCCAAGGTTTATGAACGATCTTTAGGCTAAAAAAGAAATAGTCTTGGTTCTCAGGCACCACCCTCATCATCATAAAGTTTATATTTCCATTTTTAAAAAAAATCAAAGCTCATTGTATGCGTGTATTATGCATACACTGGTAGTCATATACTGTATTCCAGGAATACATTGATGTAGGGGGCTCCTTCCCAGATTGAGGACCGCCTCCGTGGTCCAGTGGTAGAGCGTCCGCCCGGGGAGCGGAAGGTCCCGGGTTCAATCCCGGCCGCGTCATACTAAAAGACGTTTAAAGATGGGACTTGTTGCTACCCTGTTTAGCGTTCGACATTAAGGGGCTAAAACAAGGACTGGTCGGCTCGGAGTCAGTGTACTGTGTCTGAGTGGGGTATCTATGCTAAACTGCGGCACGGTATCTCAGTGTGCTCGCACTGTAAATCGGCATCAGTCCGGACTAGTACAAGCAGCCACACAAACACACACACACACGTGCATGCAGGTCGCTACATAAGTGCAATAATCTTGGACGTGACTTTTAGCCCCATTTCACCTCACCTTCCCAGATTGAGTGGACACAACATACTAGTAGTTTGAACAACAACAACAAAAACACACAAAAAAACACGCCCCCAAGCACTATATTTTCAAAAGCCATTGCCTGAGAACCAATTCTTTTAGTTTTTTAAGCCTTAGCTTAGCAATCTAGCAGGACAACTGACCAGCCACTGGACGCAGCTGAGGTGCCCATTCTGTGCAGCAGCGTGGAGGATGGTCATCCCATCAAAGGAGCTGATCTTGAGGGAGCCATTAGCCGTGAGCACGAGAAACTTGAGTATGTCGAGCAGGCCGGACTGGCAGGAGAGGTACACCGCAGTGACGCCATTGTTCATCTGCAGGTTCACGGATCTGCAACAAGTAAACACCAAAACACTCATAAACGGTTGCGTAATAGGTGTGTGACATTTTCAATATGGCCGACATGATTAGTGTTTGCGATTGGTGAAGATATCATCATAGATCTTTGTTTGTTGGTTTGTTGTTTTACGCCGCACTCAGCAATATTCCAGCTATATGGAGACGGTTTGTAAATAATCGAGTCTGGACCAGACAATCCAGTGATTGACATCAAGAGCATGGATCCACACAATTGAGATCGATGACATGCTTCAACCAAGTCAGCGAGCCTGACCACCCGATTCCAATAGTCGCCTTCTACGACAAGCTTTGTCGCCTTTTACGGCAAGCATGGGTTGCTGCATAGATCTTTGACCAAATGTTGATTATTGGTATATGAGGCTTTATGAAAATATATAATGTTTTTAAGGGTATATTTTGCTCAAATACGAGGAGGGAGTTAGGACTTTTTTATTGATGTGGAAAATTTGAAAAATATGACGTACAGGATTTTAAGTGACTGAACGCTTGATACAGATAGAATATATACACACATATGTATATGATGTCACACGATGAGTGCACGAGGACATCGACATGCATCTATAAAATACGATGCGGGACAAGCCAAGCTGATTAAACTTGGAATGTTTTACAAATTGCAGCACCATCTGGTGTTCTTTATCATGTTTATTGTCAACGCTGTCCTTTAGCAGTTTAGTGTCCATCTTGTGCACTTACACTCTTTAGTAAACATTGTTCTTTGTTTACAAATTACATACATCTTTTGTTCATGTTGTTTGCTAGTTGTTCATTGGTATTGTTTTGTATTTTTAATTCATTATTTGTATGTAAATAAGACCTCTATTCATAACATTTGACTATTATTGTGTACTTTTGTCCTGTATTTCAACTTTGTATTTTTTGACCGGATGGTCGCCCATATTGTTTGTTGCTTATTATTCTAACATTGCAGTATTCCAGTTGAATGATGGCAGCCTGTAAACAATTCCAGACATTCCAGTGATCAGAGCTTCAGGTACTTGCATAGAATACCAGACCAGATCTCCATAAACCAATTAACTTTGAGCACGTTGTGTAGGTTGCATACAAATACACATACAAATATGAAACATTCCAAGAGAATAACGACACTGCACGTAATTACCCAATGAAGTCTTTTGGGTACCTGTATGTCTTTACTCATCTCCATTTACTGACTGAAAGCAGGCATCACATATGAGGTGAGGTGAGGTGAAATGGGGTTTAACGTCGCGTCCAAGATTATTGAACTTATATAGCGAAGTGCATGCACGTGTGTGTGTGTGTGTGTGTGTGTGTGTGTGTGTGTGTGTGTGTGTGTGGCTGCTTGTACTTGTCCGGACCGATGCCGATTTATAGTGCTAGCTCACTGAGATATCATCCCGCAGTATACTGACTCCGAGCCGACCAGTCCTTGTTTTAGCCCCTTAATGCCAAGCGTTAGACAGGGTAACAACAAGTACCATCTTTTAACGTCTTTAGGTATGACGCGGTCGGGAATCGAACCTCAGACCTTCCGCTCTCCGGGCAGACGCTCTACCACTATACCATGGAGGCGGTCGCATCACATATGAAGTCTTCGGCGTGACGAGCGAACGCATTAACCACTAGGCTACCCGACCGCCCTGATAAGTCCATGAGTGTATAGTAAGTCTTTCCTCATAATAGGCAAGTCTAGATATGTGGACAGTACAAGTCTTTGGACTTGAATGAAGACGCCAGTCTCGTACAGGGACAACTTGTTCTTATATCATGTATATTTACATAATCTAGAAATGAGGACTTAAACTAATAAAATTGAGAAGTCAACTGGGACCTCTACGCAGATGGAAATGTGGGTGTGACAATGATATCCTCACATGAAACGTAATATCTGTGGGAAAAGCACAGTGTGCCATCATCTGCATATTTTATAATAACATTTATTCTGTTGCCTTCATCAGTGTATCTTTCTCACAAGAAGGCTTCTATAACAATTTCTTCATGAAAGCAGTAGCTAGGTAACCATGGTAACTGAAGGTTTCTGGGTAAACACTACAGTATAATAATCCTAGATCACAGTATAAGTATCAAGGCCACTCTCAGCATGCTCCATAAAGTTCATCCCCAACACACACATCACAAAGGAGGGTCGTGATGGAGCGCATCTATTTTAAGAAGCTTTCACAATATGTGTACAAATAGGTCTTGTGCAACAAGTTATGTTTGTGCTTTACCATGTTATCATGGCTAAACCACTCCTATGATGCCACGTGCTATGAATGTTATAGTGTGTCTTACATATACGGTTAAATCAATGTTATATCATGTATACTCCCAATGTTATAACATGATATGGTAATATAAATTGCATACCAATTGTGTTAAATCATTGCTATATCATGTTACATCAATGTTATACCATATGTTACATCAATGTTATACCATGTGTTACATGAACATAACACCATGTGTTACATGAACATAACACCATGTCTTACATCAATGTTATACCATGTGTTACATGAACATTACACCAGTGTTACACCATGTGTTACATTAAATGTTATACCATGTGTTACATGAACATTAAACAATGTGTTACATCAATGTTATACCATGTGTTACATGAACATTACATCATGTGTTACATCAATGTTATATGAAGTGTTACATGAACATTACATCATATGTTACATCAATGTTATACCATGTGTTACATCAATGTTATATGAAGTGTTACATGAACATAACACCATGTCTTACATCAATGTTATACCATGTGTTACATGAACATTACACCAGTGTTACACCATGTGTTACATTAAATGTTATACCATGTGTTACATGAACATTAAACAATGTGTTACATCAATGTTATACCATGTGTTACATGAACATTACATCATGTGTTACATCAATGTTATATGAAGTGTTACATGAACATTACATCATATGTTACATCAATGTTATACCATGTGTTACATCAATGTTATATGAAGTGTTACATGAACATAACACCATGTGTTACATCAATGTTATACCATGTGTTACATCAATGTTATATGAAGTGTTACATGAACATTACACCATGTGTTACATCAATGTTACACCATGTGTTACATCAATGTTATATGAAGTGTTACATGAACATTACATCATGTGTAACATCAATGTTGTATGATGTGTTACATCAATGTTATACCAAGTGTTACACAAATTGTATAGCGTGTTACATCAATATTATACCATGTGTTTCATCAATGTTATACCATGCATTACATCAATGTTATAACATGCATTACATCAGTGTTAAACCATGTGTTACATAATGGTTATACCATGTGTTACATCAATGTTATACCATGTGTTACATAAATGCTATACCATGTGTTTTATCGATGTTATACCATGCATAAATCAACTGTTATAACCATGTGTTGTTAGGCAGGTGACATACATCTCCTGATAACATCTAAAATAGATGCTGCCTGGTGGTGAACATGGTCCAATGTATTCAACATAATTGGGATGTGAGTGAGTGAGTGAGTGAGTATGGTTTTACGCCGCTTTTAGCAATATTTCAGCAATATCACGGCGGGGGACACCAGTAATGGGCTTTGCACATTGTACCCATGTCGGGAATCGAACCCGGGTCTTCGGCGTGACGAGCGAACGCTTTAACCACTTGGCTACCCAACCACCCCTAATTGGGATCGATGACATGCATCATGATGCATCAACCAAGTCAGTGAGCCTGACCACCCGATTCTGTTAGTCGCCTCTTATGACAAGCATAGTCGCCTTTTATGGCAAGCATGGGTTGCTGAAGACCTATTCTACCCCGGATCTTCACAGGTCTCCAATGTATTCAATGTATTCTGTACAGACAGGCAATAAGTCAACAAAGGTGCTGTCGGTCAAATCCCTGGGTGTAACACACAGACATTGAGTCTCACAGTATCGTCCTTGACAGCTCCCTATAGTGCTCGATAGATTCTTTATACATTATGTGCTCACTAATACAGGGTACTGCGTGGCTTGAAATGATAAGTAAATACTTCAGTTCTGAATCTAAGCATGCCTCTGAAAATTGTTTGGCAGCTAGGTGGTGTTTTGTTTGTTTTTGTCATGTGTGTATGCCATGATCATGTAAATTGTATACATCTTAATGTTTTTTGAATGGTTACAGATTTGTGGAACTTTTAATGGATAACAACCTTTTTTACTGTTCTGTTGTTTGTGACAACATTTTACATGCCTAAGGGCTCACTTATGATGTCACTATTCCTATGATCACCATCACCATCACCACCACCACCACCACCACCATCACCACCACCACCACCACCACCACCATCACCATCACCATCACCACCACCATCACCACCACCACCACCACCACCACCATCACCACCACCACCATCATCACCATCATCATCATCATCATCATCAACAACAACAATGTAGAGGTCTGTGTTTAGTCGGAAGTGTCTAGAAAAAATACTGTCATATACTAATGCACTGAAGGCAAGACAAACATGACATATATATTTAAATACACTGGACATAAACTTAGGACTTTGAAAAACTTCCAAATTTTTGTGACACAATATTTCCTTTTTTCAGTTTGTATGCCACAGATATTTGAGATAAGTCCTTGATCATTACTCTTACATGTTATAATCTGCTTATTCAAAGTGTTGTGCTAGTGTGTTATATTAGGATAATATATGGATTATATTAGTGAGTGAGTGAGTTGGGTTTAACGCCGATTTTAACAGTATTCCAGTTATATCACGGCGTGTCAGCTTAATGTGGGAGGAAAGCCCGAAGTGATGCAGGTCTCAGACGTTTACCACTTCGGTGAAACCCACGAGCAAGGGCATGGTGCTGACAAACCTAGAAACATAATCGGGGACGAACCGGGATTCGAACCCACAATCATAGGTTTCTGGCATGCCCAAGGGACGCAGTCACGGCGCCTTAGA